GGGATCGATAAATAGACCGACTATACACTCTGCATGTATCGTAAGGTATCGTAAGGTATCGTAACGTTTTTGTCCATGTTATAAGGATACAACGAGATGCGTTTGCCCAAATTGTCGGCTACGACGAATCTAATTTTATTCTCGCCGCTTATTGTTGCAGGTCGATAAATATATCGTACCTGTATCGTAATGTTTTTCTCCATATTGTAAGGATATAACGAGACCCGTTTCCTTTTATTCTCGTTGCTACGGATCGATAAATAGACCGACTACGATACATTCTACTTGTATCGTAATCTTTTTCTCCATGCTAGAAGGATATAACGAGACCCGTTTCCTTTTATTCTCGTTGCTACGGATCGATAAATAGATCGGTCATATATTGTACCTGTATCTTAACATTTATCTCCACGTTATAAGGATATAACGAGACCCGTTCCTTTTATTCTCGCGACACGAATCGACGAATCGCAGACGTTTCTCTCCACGTTACAAGGATGCAACGAGACGCGTTTCGACGTATCTAATTTTATTCTCGCCGCTCATTGCTACGGATCGATAAACAGATTGGCTATATATCGTGTCGTAACGTTTCTCTCCACAAGAATACGCGTTTCCCCAAATTGTCGAATCTAATTTCGTTCTCGCTACGCAGATCGATGAATCGTCGATCGCCATGCTTTTATTTTTCCCTCGCTTCACTCCCCTCCACTCGGTCGAGGAAAATACTCGGGAGAGGCCGCGGAGAGACTCACCCTCGGCTGTCTGGAGGCCGATCAACTCGGAATACTCTCCTTCCCCGGCGCTGTTGAACGCCCTCACCCTGGCGTTGTACAGAGAGTTGAAATGCAATCCGTCCACGGTGCAGATCGTCTCCCGACCGCAGTACACCTCCTGATCAAACACACGACGGAACGATTAATTCGGCTGCTCCACACGCGCTTTGCTCTTCGCCCAATTCGTTCGATCCAATTTACTATTTATATATATGTATATATATTAATCGATCGAACTTCGAAATCCATCCAAAGTTTCGATTCGATTTTCTCTCTCTCTCTCTCCTTTTCGTTTCTTCCTCGTTCGAAAAAACGCTGGTTTACCCTGAATTCACCGCCGCATCCATCGTCCAATTCCAACAAGTATCCCTCGATGGCGGGCCCCCTTTGACCGGCACACCCAACAATTCCGTGACCAGGTGGTGGTTGCCAGGCGACTGTCACGCTGTTGTTCTCCGCGCTGCACTCTTCCGGTATCAATATCGGCGCTCCAGGGGCTGAAGGAAAGAAACGAGCAGAGAGGTAGAGAGAAAGTAGAAATGGAATGGTGGAAGAGAGAGAGGAAAGGAAGGCGGGCAAAAGGCGCTCGAATCATCGAGATATATTTTTAATCATCGTTTCGAAGGCGCACCTATTCGATAGTTTGTGATACCGGTTGATAAAGGCGAAAATAATCATGGAATCATCCTCCCTCGAGTCGAGTTGAGAGAATAACCGTTCTCTCCGACTCTTGTTATTTTTTTTTTTTTTTTTTCTTCTTTTTTTTCCCCCCAATCTTTGCGGCGAGCGAAACAAAACCTCGGGAAACTGTTCAAACTGTTCGCAGGTACGCCTCAGAGACACGTTTCCTCGATAAAACTTTTCTCTCAAACTTTCGTCCCAATATCCGGGAATACATATCTTCTCCTTCTTTTTTTACAAAGAAATAAAAAGCGGTGTACGACATCGTCTTTCGTTCGAATTTGTTCCGTGGAAAAAGAAGAAGAAAGAGATATAGCGATAAAGAAGAGGGGGGAGGGGGGGAGGGGAAAAAAGAAATTTCTGCAATACTTTCGATCTCGAAGAGTTACCTGCGATCGGGAATCGCTCCTCTCCTTCCGACGCTGCGTCCAACATGAGGCAATCGTTTACATTCCATCAATAATTAACAAAACGGATTTTCGTTCGAGCCGATCGACAAACTGTAGGAGATATCGATCGTCCAATTCGAGAAGCACGTTCGATTCTCCTCCGTTTGCCCATTTTTTTCTTTTTTTTTTTTTTTCTTTAACCAAAGAACGAAGAGGGAAGAACGAAGATCGACGAGCGAATATGTTGAATATAACGATAACAGAGAAAAAGGGCGGCGAGAAAAAGAAAGAGAGCTTACGTTTCAACTGAACAAAGGTAAGTTGATCGATAGCGCGTCGCAACGGTTTGTCGTCCAGGGTGAGATCGAGCAACGGGAGGCGGGCAATTTCTTGCACCCCCTCGGCGCCGCCCCAAGAGCCGGCGGCGGTGGCCGCGCGGACCGAGAGCATGCCGCCGATCTGGAGGAAGGCCGCGCTGTCGTTCTCCTTCAGCGCCTCGATGCAGAAGGTGAGGAGAGCGGTGGTCGCCTGCAGGTGGGACGCGCATCTCGCCACTTGGTCCCTCAACGAGCGCACCCTCGCCTCCCTGGTCTGCCTGGCTGCCTCGATCAGCCTGCACTTCCTCGCCTGCAAAACGCTCACCAAGTTCGCCACCCTGTCCTCCACCTCCTCCTCCAGGGCGACGCACTCCTCCTGCCGACACACGCGTGGTTCAAACGCGCGTCGCTCGTTTACGGCACTACTCCTCGAGAAAGGGCGGAGGAAGAAGGACGAGGTGAAATTTAAAAAGGGCGTCCAAGATAAATAAATACTCACGTGCACTTTGTCAGTCATCCCTTTCAACCTCTGAATGAATTCCGTGGTCGACCGAGCTCTTTCCGACAGTTGTTGCAAATTTTGCGAGAGCTCCGTCTGCAATCGAAGAAAAGATTCCATATTTTACTATCCTCTTTCTCTCGCGATGTCGCGAGGCGAATCATTGTTGTTGCTGGATGAACCGAACGATTCTTTCGATGTGAACGCGAGTGAATTTTCAAAGTGTTATCGATTCGTGCGCGCCGATCTTTCGAATATAGGCGAGTGTGTGTGTGTGTGTGTGTAGTTCACGTCGGGGAGTAATTAAGTTACTTCTCTCGAATTAGCCGCAACTTCGTCCTACCTAATTTTCGCAGTTTTACTCCTTAACTTTGGGGCGGAAATGGATGATTGGCGCGTCGTCGTGTAACCATTGGCAAATTAGTTATGCAGATTCGTCACCGTTCTTCCCTTCCTTTCTAAATTGTCTACACTGATTATTCGAAAGAATAGTGGAAAGAAGATTTTTGATTATTGTTTCGCAGATTCGTTCTTTTCCATTCTAAATTGGCATTGTTCGACCAAATTTATCACTTCGATAAAAGGTTATTGTTTTATTTCTATTTTTTAAATATTCGCCGATCGTTTCGTTCTTCCCTTTCTTTCTATTTTAAATTAGTATTAGCTATTCGATCGTCGAAAGGAGATTTTTGGCCGATTTTCGACTTTTATTTATTTCGCAGATTCGTCAACCATTCTGCTCTTCCCTTCCTTTCAATTTTTCTAAATCGCCTCTAACTATTCCAAATTTATCATTCGATCGTCGAAAAAACGTTTTTGACCGATTTTCGACTTTTCTTTTTTAAATCCGTTCTTCCCTCTCTTCCTATTCTAAATTGGCACTAACTTATTCGACGAAATTTATCATTCGAAAGAAGACTTTTGGCTTTTATTTCGCAGATATGTTAATCATTCTGCTCTCTCCTTCTATTTTAAGAAGATCGAAAGAAGATTTCTGGCCGATTTTCGACTATCGTTTTCTAAATTCGTCGATCGTTCCGTTCTTTTCTTTCTTTCTATTTTAAATTGACATTATTCGACGAAATTTATCATTCGAAGGAAGGATTTTTTGACCGATTTTCGACTTTTGTTAAATTCGTCGATCGTTCCATTCTCTCCTCTCTTCCTATTCTAACTATTCGACCAAATTTATTATTCCAAAGAGGACTTTTGGCTTTTATTTCGTAGATACGTCAATCATTCTGCTCTTCCCTCTCTTTCTCTTTCTATTTTAAATCGCCACCAACTATTCGACGAATATATTCGATCGTGGAAAGGAGATTTTTGGCCGATTTTCGACTTTTATTTCGCAGATATGTCAATCATTCTGCTCTTCCCTCTCTTTCCATTTCAAATCGTCACCAACTATTCGACGAATATATTCGAAGGAAGATTTTTGGCCGATTTTCGACTTTTGTTTTTTAAATCCGTTCTTCCCTCTCTTCCTATTCTAAATTGGCACTAACTATTCGATGCAATTTATCATTCGAAAGAAGACTTTTGGCTTTTATTTCGCAGATACGTCAATCATTCCGCTCTTTCCTTTCTTTCAATTCTCTTAAATCGTCACTAACTATTCGAAATTTATCATTAGTTATGCAAATTCGTCAACGTTCTTCCTTTCCATTCTAAATTGCTTATAATAACTATTCGACGAAATTTATTGCTCGATCGTCGAAAGAAGATTTTTGATTTTTCATTTTCATAGATTCAATCGTTCCGCTCTTTTATTCTTTTTTATTCTAAATTACTCGACCAAATTTATCATTCGAAAGAAGACTTTCGACTTTTATTTCGCAGATATGTCAATCATTCTCTTCCCTCTCTTTCTATTTTAAATCGTCACCAACTATTCGACGAATATATTCGATCGTTGGAAGAAGATTTTTGGCCGATTTTCGATTACTGTTTTTTAAATCCGTTCCATTCTTCCATTCTTTCTTTCAATTTTAAATCGCCACTAATTATTCGAAATTTATCATTCGATCGTCGAAAGAAGGTTTTTGGCCAATTTTCGAATATTGTTTTTTAAATTCGTCGATCGTTCCGTTTTTTTTC